TCTCAACATGGCGACAGGAGAGCTGTCAATCAATAAATTGAAAAAAAAAGTAACTCAGATATCATCTTGTAAATTAAAAAGTAATGCGTTACTTTACTAGTTACTTAGAAAAAGTAATCTGATTACGTAACTTGCGTTACTTGTAATGAGTTACCCCCAACACTGGTCTTTACGGATGTGATCCTTATCTTGCGTAAGGTTGTTTACAATGATTTACCGTGAGAAGTGCAGTGGAAAATAAATGTACCCGTTTTTCTCCACCACATCGATTTACTGATGAAGACAATTGAGTGGAAACTCTGAAAATTCGCAAAGTCGAATACACATGACAAGAGTTATTGTAGCTAGTTAAGTGGATGCAAACGAAGATGTTTTGACATAATGATAAACATGTTTACAGTGTGTCATTTGAAAGAAAAAAACTACTTCAACTAGATTAAGACATGCTTTTGTATATCATGTACATTAAAATGTGTACTAAATGCGATCATTTGTAACACTAGGTCTGAGGAAAGACTTTGGACATAACTGAGGACAAGGTTGTACTTGAAAATGTGAAATATTGAGGTCCACCTTCTCAACATCATTAGTTATCCAAAAGCGCCATCTCGTGGATGGAATTACTAATAAAGCGTCAGATGGTGTTTTATGATCAAATATGCATAAAGTATTTAGAAATCGTACTGAATGGCGTGACATCATTCATTTAATTTATTTCAGTGTAGCTCACTATGGAAAGCACATACACATTTCTTAAGCTTGTTTTACAAATGCTTCCCTGTTCTTTCTCTTTACTTGAGGTGCTTCATAGTGTAGAACATTTTATTTAGGAAACGGTTTTTACTCAGAGTGAATAATGTGACTGATGAGCTCTGTCTGTATCATTTGATCAACTTTAGTGATAAAGATTAAAATAACATTAAGTGAGTTCTAAGATCCAGTAGATGGCAGTGTCCTTATAGAAGTGTTATGTTGACAGTTAATATAGCTGCATTATATTGCTTTGCCTTCTAAACTGTTAGCACCTTTTGAGTAATGCAAGTAAATTATATATGAGCATACATACATATCTCAGTCTCAAATCTACAAAATTAATCAAGTGTATAGTTTAAAAAGATAAAAGAAAGAAAGATGAAAGTATTATGAAGAGCCAAAATACAATGAGCATTAAAAACTCCATTATTGCAGCATGGTTTATTACAAATGCTTTTACTCACCCATTTTATCTTATAACCCACATTCTGAGAACATGTGGCTAAAGTAATGCTTGTATCCCTTTATTTTTGATGTATCCACACTGAGCAAGTATGTTTGCTCAGTTCACAACACTAGATTTGCAGCGAGCAAAAAGGTTGAGCCACTGGAGAAAAGCTCTTTCAAATATTAATTATTGAATAGTATATCACTCTATGAATAAAAGCACCTGAGACAACACTCATTTAGTTGAACAAGAACTGTTTTTATGAATTTAATTTTTATTAACGTAAGCACAAATATAAGTCTTAGAATCAGTGAAGTGCAAAATTATGTTGAATAATACTGGGATAATACTATTAAAATCACATCACATATACATTAGCATAAAACAGATTTTACAAATCAAAGGATGACAAAGTCTTTGTAAATAGTTAAATGGGAATGGCATACACTTTAGAAAACTCTCCATTTAATGCACTTCATTTTGAGCTGAGTGTCCTTTTGTTTCAAATACAATAATTAGATGAGTGATGTCTGCTGGAGGATGAATGGTGATGTTGTTTCAACATCAGGACTTTCCCCTGAGGCTGATTCTCAGCCTGCAATGACATTAGTCAAAGATGTTCTTGCTCACACTATATGGCCTCACATGAGTCTAGCATGTGGTGTGACTCTAAATGATGACATCACTAGCAGGAGGAAAATGAATGCCCCTTTGAGACACTGATAGTGCAGGGTTTATGAGTGTGTAGGCTCTGTCTTGTAAGAACAGAAGCGGTCATTCAGGGCTTTTTAAGGGTCTTAAAGCTTACTTCATTCCACCCCCAAAGTGCCAGCGTCAATGTTCATATATTTTGAATTAGTGCGTTAGAAATCACTGTTGGCAACTGCCGATAGTGGAAATCAGACCTTCGCGGACAATGCTTCTTTGTTTGGACATAAATAGACACATGAAAGGTTGTTCTGAACAAACTTAAGCCCCATGACCAGAATCATATGTAACATGGCACATTCAATTTTGTTCATCGGTTTGTTTTACGTAAATAAAAAAACTATTAATAAAAAAAAAAAACTCAACATTCCCATATGTGAATCAGAATACTGTATATTGTCTAATAAATTTGTGAAATTACATTTGTGAACATTTTTGGCCCGATGGATATTTAGTGTCTCTTAAACACATTTTTTGCACTCTGACTACACAGTAAGGAAAAGACGCATTTATAAAAAAAAAAATTAAGCATTTTTTTTTTTTTTGTAGGAGTATTACATGTATTTGAATTTTGCACCACTTGATTGTTTTTTATTTTAATTTTTTTAGGGTTAACAGAAATGTCTAAAATTACTGGATATGTCCTGGTAGAAAATTACCAGTAGTTTTTTTTTTTTTCATAGTGTAGTTACAACAGTGGATATACATTTATCATTTTGTCATGTCCACCACAGTATTTGTTCATACACATAGGCCTACACATCTCAAATTAATTGTGGTATGTTATACAGCATTCCATTTGGAAATTACATTTTAATCTTTTTTTTTATTAAAATAGTTTTCTTATTTTCTTGTTTTCATTTGGCCAATTTCAAAGTTAGGATTTTATATATCGTAAATATCCAAAAGAAACAACAAATCCACACTTTTTGACACACACACACACAAAGCTTGACTGATGATGTGTAAAAAAAAATATCACTGTTCTAAAGCATCATACAATAATCTAATCATTTGTTATGTAATTTATTTATTTGATTTAACTGGTTAAAATTCAAATAAATATTTTGCATTTCAATGCTTCAGCCGTATATTTTTTGTTTATATATTTGCATATTTTTTTACCATTACATATATATTCATTACAGTAATTATTATGTGATATTGTCAACATTTCTTTTTTAAGATGTAATTACATTATGGACAACTATCCTATTGATAAGCAATACACAAACACACACACAAACACACACACACACACACACACACACAGAGAGAGAGAGAGAGAGCTGTTAAAGGCAACAGATGGCTACTCTGTCTGATTGACTATAATCATTAATCATTCATCCCTCGGCACTCATGCATTATCTCGAGTCTCCAGGTTTTCAGGGTGGCAACCGAGGCAACGCTCTCCCAATTTGCAATCTCATTGGTTGGCCACCACGCTCGTCACTCCCCCATGCGTCTCCCTACAGTCTGAACCAGCCTGCGAGCTCGCGCTATCGGCCTCTTCCTCGCGCCTTTGCTCGGCTTGTCAAGCAGAAGTACGGGCTTGGTGGATCGGAGATCTGGCCTCAGATTATGCTGCCATTCCAACCGACCAGAACGATGTGTGATTCAGATGCTCTCCTGTTTTATGAAAGCCAACCTCAGGAATGAGCACTCCTGCTCCCTCGCTCGTGTTTTTTTTCGCCAGGACTGAGCGTATGTGGGACAGTAGCGAGTCTAGCAGCTTTAACAGCCTTCAGACAAAAGACGGCTGCGAAGTAATATTCACACATAAAAGGGGTAAGTACGCCAGTTTGCGTTATCCGCTCTCTGGATTGCAATGCGCCATGCTTTGCGTATTTTAACACGCTTTATTTCTAGCCGCTTTTATGTGCGATTTAATGTAACGGAACGCGAGTGATGTCACAGCTGGGTTTGCATGTTTCATCTGTATGAATGTTACAATGTAACATTCCAACATCCTCCCCGTGCTCTCTCGCTCTCTCTCTCTCTCTCTCTCTCTCTCATATACTCGATACCTGCTCGTCACTTAAAATAATCTTAAAAGAGATCTAATTCGCCAAAAACATAACACACTTCTGATACTGAGTGTTACGCGTCCTTCTGCGTTCCATAATATGAGCGTTGTTACGGGATGCGTTACGGTATTTTGTGGCTACGCACAGAAGGAAGAATGGACAGTACTGTATGTAACGTTATAGCGTTTGCGATTACATTCTCGACCGATGTCTTCGTACAGAAATCCAAACATTTGTTAGTTACTCTACTTCAGAGCAGTCAGATGGTTCCGTTCCTTATCATTGTCAGCTGCATGTAGTTTGTAGCTAACTGATATCGCTTGGGTCCTAGTTAGGGTAGTTAAAACGTGTCCACCATCAAGATGTTGTGTTGAAAATTATGCGTGAGGGAAAGTGTGTGTTTTCCCCACATCTTTTTGCATTTATTTTAAATGGTCGTTGTGACTGATTAATTGGTTTTTAAAGGAGACATATTATGCCCCTTTTTACAATATGTAATATAAGTCTCTGGTGTCCCCAGAATGTCTGTGAAATTTCAGCTCAAAATACTCCACAGATCATTTATTATATCATTTTGAAAATGCCTATTTTGAGTGGAAGCAGAAACAGGCTGTTTTTCGGGCCTGTCTCTTTAAATGCAAATGAGCTCGTATCTGCTAAAAACATCTGTTTTGGTTCTGATTATCATGTTTATCGCTCTGAAATCATGCGTTTTAAACAACATGAGTTTAAACTTCCGATATACGGTTTTCTGAGAGCACACATCCAAAGCACACGGACAGAAAGCGGCTGTCACAGCATGTGAGTACTAAACTAAGTTCTCATTCACACACAAGTTGACGTAAAAAAAAAAAACACATGAGTTACAAAAACAGTCGGTTATGTCTGTGAAGGTAAACAGCTGGGAAATAAATCGCATGTTTATTTTAGATCTGTGTGGCGGCAGCAATATACAGTAAATAAATCAATAAATCCACTGCTCTGTTGTCTCCTCTGAGGTTGGGACTCATGTTTTGCGTGAATTTTCGCCATGGCATTAGAGTTGGTACACCGTTGTCGCTTGCAAAAACACAATAACGGCGCCGTGGGTGGAAATTTACAGATTAAGGGGCAGTATTATTATAATGAGACCCCTTTGCCACATCACCAAGGGAGCGAAATCAGACGCGCTCGTTTTCTCAGACGCTTGCAGAAAAAGGATTACTAAAACAAATTTACTGGGTAAATCTTTTTCACGTTTCCTTGGTTGGTTGATGCACCGGGGACCTGATTATAGCACTTAAAACCTGGAAAAGTCATATTTTCATGATATGTCACCTTTAAAGTACAAATAATCCATGTAGTCACCTCAGCAATGGGGTTGACATATGCGAATTTTTAAATGACCGATTTTTGAAATTTTACTATTGCCCAGTTGTTTGGCACTCAGAATCATTTAAGTTATTTCAGTTAGGTAAAGTTACGTTGCAGGATTTGCTGTTGCCGTAAGTCAATCCATGTCTTTGTCTGTGAAAGTAATGCTCCACAAATAACTATTCTTTACTTTTTTCCTTTGTTTTTTTTCCTCCTTTCGAAAGAAAACACACTTCCGCCACTTAATGTTGTCCAAAAGCCAGGCCACTCATCTGGACCCCATGAGAATAGGCGTGTTGAACGGAGAGAAATCGCAGAGGATATTTTCTGGGTTTAATATGAGGTTGCTTAACTGCAGTATTCTAACTTTGTCCAGTTTTTCTCTTTAGGGTGAAGCCAACCCTCTACGGACACCTTGGCAATTGAATCGCCATTGGCTAGTACATTTTTTTTGTTTACTCGCCAGACTGAAATACTATATTATACTAATATATATATATATATATATATATAGTTAGAATCTATTAGCCATTGGCTAATATTAGACATCATTTAGTCGCCAGAGTGAAGATTTAGTCGCATATGCGAGTGATTTACTCGCAATGTTGGAAGCACTTTGGTGTAGTTTAGCTTCTTCTTTAGGAGGTCCTTATAGTTGATATACAGAATATTACTATATTACAATCTATGCTGTGATAATTAGTTTTTTTATTGCTTAAACTGTAGAAATTTACATTTGGATATTGTTCCTTCAAATAGCTTAAATCTGCAAGGTTACCTATTATGTTTTCAGTAAGTGAATTTGAAACTTTATTTAGCACCCTGCACATTTGTCTTTTTTTTTCCCGCAGTTTGGAGCAAATATCTCATTTATTAAAATACAGTTGGACTGCATTTTGTTATGCAAGATATTTATGGTCTCTGGTCAGTTTTATGATTATATTATATACTGTTGGGATTATACTGTTTCTTTGTGTTGTGTCATGTTTGTAGTTTAACACTCTTTTTTTTCCTTTTCTCAATCTTGCTCACACGCACCGTTTCCTAGCTCTTCCCACACATCGCAATACATTCAAGTAATCCATGTATGATGTATTATTTTCATGGTAACATTAGCATAAATAATCAATACAAGCTTATTTTCGGTCTCTTCTTTAGAATGCTCCAAGATCTCCTTTGATGTCTGATCAGACTAATGAGTAAGGAGTACACAGGGCAGAGGTAGATGAGCTGCTGAGCTCATAACACTCATTCACACTGGCACTTCATCCACACACTCATGACCCACACCGCCAAATTGAAGTGCCTTTATGCCGGAGAGCTACACAAGAGGAGTTTCATATCCCAAACTGCTGGTCTGATGATGACGTGCTTGAGCTCTGGCCTTGTTAATTTTGGGGAACTCTCATGCTTTTCTGTATTTTCTCATCCGAGAGAGAGCTGGATCAGAGCAGTTTTTAAGAGAAGACAGACTGTCCCTATTTGACTGTCTAATTGGGAGTCTGAAGAAAAGGCTTCTGAAGAGAACTTCCACACAGAAGTGAGAGTTATCGAACTGCTCTCATTATGCCTCATCTCTGCACTCGTTTATTAGCATAAAGCAGGGCAAGACATTTGTTTGCTGAGCTTGCATTTGCATGTAGTGTGTCTGTCGGGTGTTCTTAAGGGAATAGTTCACCCACAAAATGAAAATTTGCTGAAAATGTAGTCACTCTCAGGCCATCCAAGATGTAGGTGAGTTTGTTTCTTCATCCCAACAGATTTGCTTTTCAAACGATGTAGTGAATGGGTGCCATCAGAATGAGAGTCCAAACAGCTGATGAAAACATCACAAGAATCCACAAATAATCCACACCACTACAGTCCATGAATTAATGTTAAGTGAAAAGCAGCATGTTTATAAGAAACAATTTAATCATTAAGGCATTTTTACTTTAAGTTGTCATTTTTGGCCAAAAGTCCATAATCCATAACGCCTTCTCCAGTGAAAAAGTTCATCCGCTGTTGTCATCTCGCATCAAAATCCACATACATATTTGTTTTGAACTGTGCTTGATTGGTGCATATTTCTCTGCTAATTCTGGCAAGATGACTTTTTCACTGGATTATTGGAAAGCAATATTATGGATAGAGGACTCTTGACTAGTCATTGACTAGTCAACCATATATTTTGCTCTGTGAAGATGATATGCTTGGTCTCTTCTTATAATGGGGAGATCTTGGCATGATCTGCCGGTGGCCTCAATTTAGCATAATTTGTGCAGTACAACCACACACAGTGTTTTAAACTAGATCAGCACTTTTTCTTCCTGAAAAAGGGAACAGAAACCACCCCTCAGACAGACTTTTATTGTCTGTCTGCATTTTCTTTATCTGTGCTCCCCCTATCCATACTACTTTACCTCATTCTATTGTGCATTTGAGTGTGTATGTATATATATATATATATATATATGTGTATATGAGTGTGTGTGTGTCTGCTGCCATGACAGTGAAAGTTCTTGGTCAGGTCCAGACTGGCTCAGTAATACAGTACATACCAGCAGATCAGCTGGGAGCAGATCCCTCAGTTCATTTATAGCCATGGCCTTGTGTCGATGCACGTCTGCCTGGCAGCTGTATCATTCCTGCACCCACCCAACATATACATGGTTTTTGTGTATAAAATTATGCACAGATTTTTTTTGTGCTTACAAACTAAACATGATTTAGTGCTGCTTTATCTATGTCTAACATATTTCGCATTCAATTTTGTCAAACTACCATCTTACATTATAAATACCATGTTAACATAACATCTAACATCTCCTGTCCAGTGTACACCAAGATAACATCACAAGTTTCTGATTTTTGAACAGCAACAAGATTTTAATCACTAATTCTTTGTTTCTCTGATAGGTCGTTGTCTCCATTCTATGGAGAAAGTGGGCAAGATGTGGGGTAACCTCAGGAATCGATGCCAAGCCCTCTTCCACAACGATGGCTCCGAGTCCCATCTGTGTAGCCAGGATTTAGATTGCGTCCACTGTGTGGTAGACTTGGGTAGGGGAGCACATGCAGAACCCTATGAAACTACACCCTCACGGACCTTGTCACTACTCCCACTGGTTACTGGAGGACGCAGAGGCCATAACTGTGTGGCAGACATTCCCCAGATTGTAGAAATCTCCATTGACAAAGAGAGTGAGGATGCACTGATGGGTCCACTTATCCGTAGGGACTCCTACTCACGTCATGCTCCCTGGGGAGGTAAAAAGAAGCATTCTTGCTCAACTAAAACACAAAGTTCGCTTGAGGCTGACAGGCGAACAGGATGCTCAAGAGGAAGTACAGCCAGGAGGGAGCGTCGCTATGGAGTTAGCACTATCCAAGAGATGAGTGATTCTGTAGGAGCTGGCAGCAGTGGGCGCAGCCTTAGCACCCGTTCTCTACGACAGCGACTTCAGAACACCGTAGGCTTGTGCCTTCCTCTCCCCACACACTGCCGTTCTCAGTCAGCCAAAGGCCAAGTGTCCTCCAAACGTAAGATCCACCTGACTGAACTGATGCTCGAAACATGCCCTTTCCCACCCGGTTCAGATCTGGCCAACAAGTGGCACCTAATTAAGCAACATACAGCGCCAGTCAGTCCTCATTCCTCAACTGCTCTTTTGGATGCGTTTGATGTAGTGCATCCATCCACTGAGGACGAGGAAGAGAGGCTGCGTGAACGGCGTAGACTTAGCATAGAGGAAGGAGTGGATCCCCCTCCAAATGCACAGATCCATACGCTGGAGGCAACTTCACAGAACTCTTTCCTCTATAAACTGGGACCAAAGATGGCTCCTGGTGTTGGGGAGGGCAGAAGTCTGGGAACAGTCTCCTCCATTTCTGGGGGGGTATCGGGTATTGTCGCACAGGTTTCAGCGAGTATGGCAGTGTCATCCCACACTGTTGACTGTGACTCTGAGGAGGACTCAACTACTCTTTGCTTACAGACACGGAAGACCAAGCAGAGGCATGCTTCTGGGGACACACACTGCTCCAGACAACCCGGGCCTTGGAAGGTCCACACACAGATTGACTATATCCATTGTTTGGTGCCTGACCTACAGGCCATAACTGCACTTCCTTGTTATTGGGGGGTGATGGATCGGTACCAAGCAGAAGCACTGCTGGACGGACGACCAGAGGGCACCTTCCTGTTACGTGATTCTGCACAGGAGGACTACTTGTTTTCCGTTAGTTTTCGACGCTACAATCGTTCACTGCATGCACGCATTGAACAGTGGAATCACAACTTTAGCTTTGATGCGCATGACCCCTGTGTCTTCCACTCTTCCACAGTAACAGGCCTGCTGGAGCACTATAAAGACCCTAGTGCCTGTATGTTCTTTGAGCCCCTGCTCACTGCTCCCTTACACCGGACTTTCCCTTTCAACCTTCAGCATCTGGCGCGAGCCGCCATCTGCAGACACACCACCTATGATGGCATTGGTGCCCTCGCGTTGCCTCCAACCATGCAGGACTTCCTGAAGGAGTATCACTACAAACAGAAAGTCCGTGTGCGCTGGCTAGAGAGAGAGCCACCACTCAAGGTCAAATGAGGTCTGGCTCTGCAACCAAGAGAGGCAGGAGTGTGGGCAAGAGTTTTGCCGCCAGAGGAGTATGTGGCTCATATTATCCAACATACAGCTGGATTTAGACACACGGCAACAGAGGATGTTGTGAACTTCCAGCAGTTTTTTTTTACCGGTTAATACTACACATGGAATCCATACATATGTTTCAGTGCAGAACATTCTGTCAAGCTAGCTTATTTGCTGAATTGTCGAGCATGGTGGGAATGAGATGGACTTATTCTCTCTGCTCTTTTTCCTATGACCTTATGTCCTTTGGCTCTCCACTAGCATGCCCCTTGCTTTCTATCTTCTAGTGTTTTACACTATTTTGAGCAGTAAAACTGATTGTTGTCACATTAACTAGCCTCTTTTGTCAGGCAAATGGATGACATCTACAGAAGCTTAGTCCACTGATAAAATATGTTCAAGTAATCTTGGAAGTCTTCATACCTGAATGTCTGCTACTCTCTAAAATTTGATGTTAAACATCTAGTCACACTATATGCCTATTTGTGAAGTCATGACTAATTTATCAACAATACCTTCAAGATACTTTACAGTGACCTCCTACAAGTGTCAAGTTCCCTGAGGCAGCACTTGTTAAGCCTTGTGTACGTGGACAGGATCACAGATATACACGCACCTCTCAGCACTAAGCATGCTTTATTTTTAAAATTGAGGCAGACAGAAGTGAAAGGCATGAATTAATTGCGGGGAGGTGGGAGCACTGTGCACAGTGTGCCATATGATAGAGAGGACAGATTATTTAAAACTAGGCCCTCATGTAGTGTCATATCCCAGCATAATCCTTGTTTTAAACAGTCTATTTTACTATTTTCTATTTTTATCAGCGACAGTCTAAAATGACATATGGCACTTTAATTGTTGTTTGTGTACCACACAATGACTTATAGACTCAAGTACATGCATATAAACCGATGATATTGTCTGTTTTTTTTATGGACCTTATTCATAGGATGTCAATTTACCCCATATTCTTAGCATGAGTCACCCGAAGTTTATGTTAGTGTCAAGTGTCTCTTACCTTGCCTGTGTATATGGTATGTACTCGAGGCTATATTTTATCTAACATGGTAATATATGCAACAGCCGAAAGTGGACAGAGAAAGTCCTCTGTAAAACTTGTGTAGATACCTCTAAGATTGTTTTCACTTTAGATATTGTTGGAACACAGACAGATGCCATCACTGCGTATATATTTAATGTTTATTGGATTAATGTCCAGTTATGTTATAAAGTGTGGTTGGTTCCACTTGATACCACTTGATTGTTGCACTTTTATTCATTATGAAGCACGCAGCTATGCTTCCCTCATCATAATTGTGTGCACTAGTGATTGAGATTCCCTGAACACTGTAAAATATAGTTATAAAACTCTATACTTTTGATGTGCTTGGTCTTACACAAAAATTCAATTAAAGCCAACGAAATCATACTAATATATTTAATATCAGATGTTCAGCATTACAATGGTGGACTTTTAAGTTCCAGAAGGATCTCAGACCATGCATAATAATATGTTAAACTGGTACAATTTGTGGTATTTGGGTGTTTGATGATCAGCGACCAAAGGTGTGCATCTCTAGGTTGTTATTGTGAATGAGAAATCTTCCACTATGCCTCTTGATTATTTATGTTGAGTTCAATGAGTTAATTATAGTGTCCAGTTTTCTGGCAGAGTAGCACCCATTTTGAAGCCATTTATTTGAACCAATTAAATCCACAATTAAACTCTTTCAGAATATGCCTCAGTTGTCACTGAAAGGAAGTCATTTTGTTAATTTTAGATTTTTTTTTGTTTACTCTATTTTTCCACTTGAATGACCTGAATAAATACTCAAAACAACCATCTTAAAATTTCTTCCACCCTGCACACTGTATGCTCTGTATACAGGCTCATTTTATGTCAACTGTGTAGCGGTACATGTCAGATGATGTCATCTGCTTTCAAGACTTCAACTTTGAATATAATATACCTTTCATTGAATTTACATACAAAATATGAGTGCTTAGTCGCAGCTAGCAGTTTCACAGCCTCTCCCGAGCCATACTTGCTGAAGAAAAACCATCTAAAACCAGCCTGGTTTTAGTGGGTCTCCCAAGGTTTAGTCACTTTTCAGCTGGTCAGGCTGGGAGACCTGATTGCCCAGTTGAAGACCGGCTTAGCCTAAACCAGCTAAGATTAGCTTATAACATTTGAATTTGACAACTATTATGGTTGTCCAGTTTGTGTGTTAAGTCAATGTCAAAAAAGTAACATGGTGTTACCATGTTTTTTAGGATATGGTAACATGGTAATTCCAAGGAATTTAGACATGTCCATCACAGTGCCATGTTTTTTTTAGAACATGTACCATGGTTCTTCTATGGTATTCTATGACGTTCTGTGAAGTATAGTATGTGGCAAAGTACCATGGCGTGGCTATAACCTGGTACCACCACAGTACATTTTTGTGAAGAAATGCTCATAACGCTGATCTGAGGAAATTGTTCCCTATAGCAAAAGCTCAACGATGCTGAAAGGCGTTCAGCAGAAATTCGTGATGCTCTTTCCCGTTTCAGGAATGAGTTCAAGTGATGTAAGCCACTGCATTTATGACAGAAAGCTTCATTTTCAAGGGTGTTGGTTCGAGGGCTGTTAAACGCTTAGCGATAGCTTGGTCCTCACCAAATCCTTTGTATGTTTTTAAACACTGAGGCATACTCATGCAGTCATTTGGGACTTTGTATGCCACTGCACAGTGAGCGAGTCTCTCCTGGCAGATTTACACCCTGCCCTGCCTTACAGGCACTAATCACAGGCTAAATTTACATGCTAGCCTCTAAATTTACCACCTGCTAAAAGGACCACTCTGTGTTTCTTGATGGGTGCTGTGAAAATAGAGAAGAGAGGGACTTTTTGCTCTAATTTTTCCTCTTCCTCCCCGGTCTGACCACATCCTCAGCATCACCCTCTTTCTTGAATATGTAGTGCTGAAAGCAGTGAGCGCGTTGTTTGTTTAGTCTGGATACCAGTGGTGGACAGTAACGAAGTAGTTTAATTTCGTTACTGTACTTAAGTACATTTTTCAAGTATCTGTACTTTACTGGAGTAGTTTTATTTTGAGTAACTTTTACTTTTACTTCACTACATTCCAAAGCATAAGATCGTACTTTTTACTTCACTACATTTCATAAAACTTATCGTTACTCCTTATAATATATCACGTGCTCTGAGACGCAGAAGCGGTGTCTGATTAATGAACGCAAGTACTTGATTTGTGTACTTCGTCCACCACTGCTGGATACTAGCTAAAGTTAGCATTAGCAAGAGGCTAACACACAGTGCTCCATTGAGGAACATTGAGTACTGCAAGGAATGGGGCTGGGTTTGAAACCGCAGTCGTTATTTAGTTAATAGTTTAGAGAAAGTGTTATGAGGGAAGTGTAACACACCAAACTAACCCAACACAGTGTTCTCCAGTAACTCAGGCCTGGTTTATTGCATTCAAAATAGTGCAAATAAAATAGTAACAGTGGGACTGCAGAAGTCAACAAGAATTACAGTGAGGAGTCTTGTATTGAGACTTCTGTGAGCTGTGTCTTGTGCTTATGTCCTGGGGATGCTTTGTCCTTGTTTTCATGGCTAACACCTTGATCATTTTGAAACCGCTTCTCTATATGGAGGAGTCTGATGTTCTTTCTGCCCTTTTTCCCCATGGGAAATTTCTTATGTCAGCCACTGTAGCACATACTGACCATATAACCATGTCAAGTGACCCTGCTTGCAAACTAGCTGGTGAAAAAACTGCTTCATACATGCACGCATACTCAAATGTACCCATAAATGTTAAATGTTGGGATGTACCAGTGAATTATAGAGTGGACTTTATGCTACAGACTGTGGCAGGGCAGCAATTGATCTTGAACTTACTAATCCTTCTGTTTAGATCATAACTCTTTTAGCTCTACTTTAGTGTCAATGTGTAAAGCTCTTGGGCCTCATTTATGAAACATGCGTAAAACCATCCTAAATGTGAAAGCATGATCATTGCTGAATATTGAAAATGAGATGATGACACAAAGTTTTTCCAGGTTTCTGCCCATATTCATTACAAAATATGTGGATTTTCCTATATTTTTTGTGTATTTAAATATGGTCATTTATTTATTCATTTAGTCAGTTGTTCATTTTACACTTAAAAGTCTCCAGAAGACTTAGTTAGCAAACATGCTTTTTACTTGGTTTACATATAAAAACACTGCCGTGACAGTTTTAGCCTTCGTAAATCCCAATTTGTTCCTACACAGGATGAAATCCATGGACTTTAGGATTAAATCTGAACTTACATGGGTTTTATAAATGAGGCCTCTGATCTTTTCGTCTTTGGTGCCAAAATATGTTGCGAAAGGAGTTGAATAATAGTTTTATGCAAGCAGAGTAGCATTTAACGAATTGTTATTTTTACATAAATTGTATCTCTAATACACATTGAGTGTGATGTAACCATGGTTGCAATCTTATGTCACTTTAATGCTATATGTGCACGCTTGTAGCAGTATGTATGTGGGCGCTGTGGTGCCAGGGCTTGATGATGATGGGGGCTAATGGTTGTCATTCTGCCTCCTCGACTGCCTTATACATTCTGACCAATCACAACAGCCTTCTCAGCTAACCAGCTACAGACTAACTGATCTCTAATAATACAGTATAACCAAATATTGTTCGCTGTTCCCTTCGATCTTCTTCTCATTTAATTAACTAATATCTGAGAGGTGTTTTTAGAAAACAAAGATGTTCACATTTTAGTTTGTGTTTTGTTTGACTTCTGAATATTATCTTGGACTCTATTTTGTTTTCTTTGCATAGCCTGTTCATTGTTACAGCCAATGCAATTGTAGATGTCACTCTTGGTGCTTTGTGAATGCTTCATTGTCTTAATATTATTAATAAAATATTGAGTGTATTCCATGCAGTAAATAGATATGATCACAAATTGGTTTCTTTCATCTGGTCATTATTTTGGTTTCATACTTCATATTTGTCCCTTTGTGACTTTGACCCTAATTTATGTTCCTGACCTTTTTGTGTATGGTTCATGAGTGCATATCATTGCAAAGAAATACAATTGTTATTCTAATTCTTTTTTTTATCAGAATTTACACCTAAAACGATTCTCCATATTGATGACAACACCAGACCCTCTTGTTTTCACTATCCACTCGATTCTGCTGGATAAAATCCCATCCTACTTTTTTAAAAACATTTTGGAAGTAAAATGGATACAAAGGTGGTTTCACGTTGATTTCAAAAACAAGAAGCATCAAATCTTATTCCATCATTACAGAAATTCACATGAGCTTGACTGAGTTTTGCCTGGAGGTCAGCGGTATTATTTGTCCTTTTGAAATGAAATATAAATAGCATCCAGGTTATCAGTTACACATTACCCACCCAAAGCTTCTGAATAATTGATCGTATCCTTTGGACAAGAGGGTTGAGCAGAAGAAGATAGGCAATTTATGTTTACTTTATTGAAAGTAAACGAGCAGCTTTGGGGCTCTCTGATCACTGTTTGGTTCATCTAATACCGACCTACAGGCAGAAACTGAAATCAGTTTCAATACCTGCTTCTTTTCCAATCCAGTGTTTCATCTTTTTCTAATTTTTCAACCTTTTGTCATTTTGCACTCTTACCTGGCAAGTGAATGATATGATCTGCCATCTTTTGTTCCATTATCTCATTCTGCCATAATTCATACTGGATATGTCCTACCAAGGGTCTGTGTTTAATTTACCTCAAGCTGAAATCACGCTAATGTTTCCTCAAGCTGAATATAAAAAACTGATTATATTAAGATTATCTTATCAAGATCAGCGTATGCTTTGGATCGTCAAAATGTCCTTTCCTAAGCATTATTTTTTTATATCAATTTTTTTTCTCCCTCTATCCCTTTTTCACCACTACAGTTTTGTCCACCTCAAGTGTGGAAGGCAGCCGTCAAGTCCAGGTGGAGAGGGCAGGGCCTAAATCAGCTTCATGAACGCCAACCTGGCCACCAGAGCCAAGAAAAACAGCCATCACTATCGTACTGTCATCTGGAGGAACGAGCCTCACTGTTCTGTTCGCCTACAGTGGATTAACCGCAAGCTCGTGAAAATATGACAACTCTGCTATGTACTGGCGAGATTAAACTGCTTGAAATGGGAGGTGTGCTTAAGTCCTTCTGGCACCGTTTTAGTCCTCACTTAACATGTAATACACAACTGCCGCAGTCCCTCTGTCAACTCTGTATGAAAAAACATGACCACATATATGGAGTATAAAACATACAATTATTCATTAACGCTCTCGTCATACATAAGAAGAAAAGTGATCTCACCAGCTGTGACACGTTTCAACAGTATAGTCAGGGTGTGAATTATATGGGGGTTTCTGTCCTACCTACCCCCGAAGGAAGTGAAAACAAAGGTTGGGGGGAGAGGGGCTCTAAAAGTATGTATTATGTAAGAATACATTTCAGTAACACTGAAAAATTAGCTTAGAAAGAATAGTGCACTAAACAGATAATGGTTAGCATAAGTTGCATTCATTTGCATGAAATTGAAATTCCACCCATTTTCTAAATGCATCTTAATTTTAATGCTTCATCCATGCTATTTCATTCAAAAATCTTTTTTTTTTTTTTAAATGTAATAATTTCCGGTAAAACTTCTTTCTGGTAACGAATGCAGGACTTCTCCAATAATTGAGTTTGCTTAAACCCCGATTTTTTCTTACAATTTTCTGCAAGCTTGTATTCAGATCTGTCTCCATCCAATCAGTACACACTGATTAACTTTTCTTTTTTTTTTTTCAATTATCTTTTTCAATCAGATATGTCTCAATATGGCAGAAATGATCTGTCACTACCATTACGTCAAGATAAGTAATGAACAAAACATAAAAACTGCCATTTTTCAAAATCAAGTCAAGTTTTTTTTTATCATTAAATATCTAATTGCATCAGATTACAGAAGTAAAATGGGTCACACTTTAGTTTGAGGACCAATTCTCACTATTAGCTAACTGTATGACTTTTGCCTCGATAAACTCCTAATTTGCTGCTTATTAATAGTAAGGTAGTTAAGTTTAGTATAGGATTAAGGGATCTAAAATATGGTCATGCAGAGTAAGGCATTAATATGTGCTTCATAAGTACTAATAAACAGCTAATATGCTAGTAATATGCATGCTAATAAGCAACTAGTTAATAGTGAGAATTGGTCCCTAAACTACAGTGTTACCGTAAAATGGCTTGTGAGCAGCATTTTACATTGTTTTTAACCTTTAGCTGACTTTATTGCCTTTGGCAGAACCTTCCGCATCTGTTGCTTTTCAGTACTTTTCAATACCTGCTTCTTTTCCAATCCAGTGTTTCATCTTTTTCTAATTTTTCAACCTTTTGTCATTTTTCACTCTTACCTGGCAAGTGAATGATATGATCTGCCATCTTTTGTTCCATTATCTCATTCTGCCATAATTCATAATGGATATGTCCTACCAAGGGTCTGTGTTTAATTTACCTCAAGCTGAAATCACGCTAAAGTTTCCTCAAGCTGAATATAAAAAACTGATTATATTAAGATTATCTTATCAAGATCAGCGTATGCTTTGGATCGTCAAAATGTCCTTTCCTAAGCATTATTTTTTTATATCAATTTTTTTTCTCCCTCTATCCCTTTTTCACCACTACAGTTTTGTCCACCTTCTCACTGTAGTGCATCATTGCTGTTTGGCTGGCCTTACTGTAAACCCAAGGACTGGGGGCTCTGGTGTGTCTCTCTCTCTTGCTTGCCTGCAAGGCCCAAACCAGCTCTGGAAAGTTTTCCTTAGTCTTAATCCTGGCATAGTTATTCCACTCGTACGTGTTTATGAAGTCCTGACAAAATCCTTCCTCTTCAGCCTCTCCCTCTCTCCTTCATTTCCCCTCTTTCTCCCTCTGGGACTCCACTTGCACAGATTTAATTTCAGATCTTCTGTCTA